CCTGAAGTTTGAGGGACTCTCCTCCTGAGGAAAGTGACAGCTAATCACTGAAACGTCGGAAGTTAAATATATTTTTGGTTATGTGGCTATGTTTTATACAACTTATTATACTTTAAGAATAATTTTATTGTCTCTATTTTTCTGCACCTTCTCTATTTCTAATATAATTCTTATTGCATCGGCCATCCCATTAAAACATCATTTATTTGTTGCATACCAAAAAAAAATATATTGTATATAGCGTCAATCTTGAACCATATATCTTTATGAAAATAGTAGTACTCTTTCTCTTAGTTAACTATGGGTTGAGAAAGGGCAAGACCGAAATCTCCCAATAAAATTAATTGTAAAACTTGCAGGAAGTGTCATTTATCTAGTTTTAAAATAAACTCAACACATACAATGAGACTGCAGCTACTTCTTTTGAATTTTTATTCAGATCTTAAATTGTCGCAGTTGATCAAACACCCTGAATTTCCCAAAATACACATTCTGTAATATGTGGCTGGCCGAGAAGTAAAGTCCTTTCTGGAAATGACGCAGTTCACAGAATCTATCGAGATGCCGGTAGCCACATCCTGATGAATTAAGGCATCGTCCTCAACTGGATTTTTATGTGCATTTCTATGTGACCCTCCGTGTTTAATATGAATAAATACTTAATACAATTCTAGGGGAGTGCCAAAAATTTTACTGAACATTTAGAAAACAAGCTGAACTTTCGGAGGTGTCTCCTTAATCTTGAGCTGTACAGAATGGCATGGCAAAGGGGAGTTATATTAGGCTTGGAGAATATCTATTACATAAGTAACTAGGTATTATATAAAATATGCAAAAACATGACATAAAATGTGTTTTATATTTTTTTATTATATACGTTCTAATTTGAAAAAAAAAAACCGGCTTTTTTTTTTTTTTTTTTGTCATTTCAGATGATTTTGAAAAGACGAACATTCTGATCGTCTAAATATCCTGCAATAAACCCAGATTCTTTCTCAATCCAAAATGCTCCGTTTTCTATTTGAATGATGAGTTTTATGTAATTCGATATACTTTCTAATTTTATCTAATAGGGAGGAGGACAAGCATGGCAAAGTATGACCGTACATAATAAATATATTATAATAAAGAACTCGCTCGAATTTTTAGCACCAATAAAGTACAATTTACCAATTCTCATTATCAATCAGTATTAGAAGTAAGAGCAGCGAAGGATTCCCTCATCACCAGCCAGTATTATAGGTGTAAACAAGACATAGAAGGATAAACAAACAGCGGACTGAAGGTCAGTCAAAATCCATACAGGAAGTCACCTGATGCCCGCGAGGCAGATAAACCAGGCCGGGGAACCTCTAATGGAGTTAGTTCCTCAACGTCAGCCGCTTGGCAAGGACAGGTATGTTATCTCTTCCTTCTCACTCGCCTCTTGTCGCAGCTTGTCGTATATAGTGTGTGTAGTATAAAGATAGCACAAAGATTAACTTAAATTCTTCAATATCGACAGTAGTTTATAAAGCCTCTTGATGAGAGCGATTTAAAACTATATCGACATAAAAAATAAAACCGAGATCCCGCACCAAATAAGACAATCTGTAGTTTTACCTTGTATATGGCCCGATGTATGGGTGTGTAAGTTGTATCATATTGTCTTAATCATATGTTCCTATATATAACCTGCGTTTTTATCATTAGAAATGTAAATGGATTGTACTTTTAAAATGTATATTTTCCTTTAGAGACTCCGTGGTGAGTCCATGTATAAAATTTTGTCTTATAAGGGTTTTTGCGTGTATTGTGTGCGTTGAATGTATGTGTTGTGTGTTTTGCCTGTGTTATGTATGTTGAATTTATGTGTTGTGTGTGTTGAATGTATGTGCTGTGTGTATTGAATGTATGTACGGTGTGTGTTGAATGTATGTGTTGTGTATGCTGAATGTTTGTGTTGTGTATTTTGAATGCATGTATTGTGTGTGTTGAATGTATGTACTGTGTGTGTGTTGAATGTATGTGTTGTGTTCTTTGAGTGTATGTGTTGTGTGTGCTTTGTCTGCGTTGAGTGTGTGTGTTGTATTCGTTGAGTGTATGTGTTATGCATGCGTTGAGTCTATGTGTTATGTACGTTGTTGAGTGTATGTGTTATGTGTTCTGCATGCGTTAACTGTATGTGTGTGTGTGTAAATAAAATTTATTCAAAACATTTTTCTATTCCATATACACTAGTAAAAATGCACTCGGGCAAAACCCGAGCCATTCGTCTAGTATTTATAAATGGCAGGTAGCGTTCATCGTGTCTATGACTACTGTATTTTTATGTCATAACTATGGAGTAACAAGTAGACTTTAGATTGATACTGATGGAAACACAAACCAGATGGTAGCTAATGTAAATAAGTAAAAATATTAAAATATTGTCATTAATGAAGGTACGATTTAATAGAAGTGAACATTTGGGTAAGTCGTCCGTCAATGGAGGAGGATAGGTGAAGGAAGATAAGATAGCAGACGTATTCTATCTCCATCCTTAGATACAACTATAGATAGATACGTTCTTTGTTCTTTAGATTGGTAAACAAACAAATACCTCACTGCTGTTGTTGCTTTGAATAAGACCATCCTAATATATTTTTAATACCGTGGAATGAGTAGAATTTATTTGTATCAAACGGAGGAATAAATGTATAAAATATTAATTTGAAGTTTTCTTAAGCACGGGGTTGGCCTAGATTAGGGGTCGGCAAAATGCGGCTCGCGAGCCACATGTGGCTCTTTGGATGTGAAGCTGCGGCTCTTTATGCGAGTACTATTTATTGTTGGGAAGAAAAAGGTGTGTAGTAAATTGTAATTTTCGACTCTTCCAACTCAAAAGTTTGCCGACCCTGGCCTAGATTTTTGTCGTTTGGGACGCATGATGATTCGTGCTCGAATCTCTAGACGTTGTGATAATTTTTTTGTTAAATTTCAAATAAAAGTATTGTGATTGCCTACCGAATAGTTCTAATTACATCAGAGAATTAAAATAACCAAAAAGGAGCTATGATACAATACGAATTCAAGTTTACAATGTAGGTCTAAATATGCGATGGAATTACTGTATGACACTCTACTGCCTCCTTATTAGTGATAGCTATTATCATGGGGCTGGGGATTACTTTATTTAAAATTTAAGTTTAAAAAAAAATTCAATCTTACATTATGGTGGGTGTACAAATTGGTAAAATCTATCTCAATGATGTTTGGTGTCAATTGCTTGTTGGTGGTGCCTTGTCCTATTTCCCACTGGTTCCCCGGTCTGCAGGCCCCAGTGCGTCGGCTCACTCGGACGCAGTATCATGGACTGTCAATTTCTGATTCTGTTGCTCCATGGAAGGGGTGGGGGTGCCATTTCAGAGTTCCCTGTTCACGGTTACCTTAGCGGCTCGGGGCTCACGACACCGTACTTCGCCCTACAGGACAGTCCCTTACATGTGCTGCTTCTCCCGCCCGCCACGTAGAGGAGGGGTTGGTAGTTGCTTGTTTATGAGCCAGATAGCAGATCAGGTAGAGGTTACTAGTGAACGTGATTGGTTAAGGTTAATTGGCCAAAAAGAAAATTTGTATTCTAACCTATCTACGCTAAGGGCTCAACAACAAGCAGACCGAACGTAAAACTAGTGGTACAACACCAGGCCAGGATTCAGCAAGCCACCAGGGGAGGGCCAGGCGGTTCCTTGACAATTGACAATTAAAATAATTTTATTGACATCTTGTCAATACATGCAAAAGTGAACAGTGTGCACTATTTTAAAAATAGAATTATATATATACATAACACAATGTATAATGAATATGGCGCCTCTGCCACCGTTGCAGAGTTTGGTGGAGAATAGCCAGCGGGCCACCAGCAACACCACACTGTTTCTAAACTAGACTAGAACAGAGTTTCCTAGGTCAGAGTCTTCGAGAGAGGAGGCGATAACAAAGGAATATTTAGCGACCATTTCCTCCCAGGATCAACAAGGAAAAATACCTCTGTCGGGTTTTAAGTTCAAAACATAGTTTTTCTATAAGCTAAATAGGAAGCATTTAGTACAAAGTAATCTTAGCTAGACATGTTTCTCTAGGTGTAGATATTGTTTTTATTAGTGAAAATATGCAATTTTAACAATCAATAATCAAACACTGATGATTTATTTATTTATTTATTTATTATATTATTTTTATTTATTTATTTATTTTTGTAAACCCACTGAAGAAGATAGTAGGGAATGTGGAAGCAATAAAAAGATAGATGGAAATTTTGTCGGGAGTAATTTGATTTATAAAAATAAATATCACCTCTTCCGTCAAAATAGACACTAAGCGCCATCTATTAACTGTCTCCACAAACTAACGGATTCGGGTCGGAAACAAAGCCGCAATACCAGCTTTGGCAAACACAGAAGGACGGCCATGATTTCGGGCTAATGGTCTGCGTCAGTCTAGGGCTAGCCTTGATTTCACGAGAACCACCAGTGACCTATGAAAATCTTCAGAATTTTCCAAAGAGGTGTTCAGCTGGTATAGTAGCTAAGCCAATTCTATGGCCTATATTTAGGCCATATTCATCGTAAATTGAAAACGCTATACATGATCTCTCTTTTGCCATATTCATACGTTTATTTTTAACTAAAGAAGATTTTGCCCGAAAGCTACTGTAATTCTTTTTTTTTTTTATATTTAAAAAAAATTGTGGCGTTACTTACTTCTTTTTGTCCATGTGTATATCTTTGGGCGATAAACTTTTCTTGTTACTTTCTAGAATCCTTATACAATTATTTTTCAAACCTTATTCTGAAATGTGAAGTATGTATGACACATTTTCTCGCTTTGCTTTCAAAATGAGCGACAACAGTCTGTCAAGGTGTAACAATACCTCGATATAAGTGTATTCCACAGTTAACATGGGGACAGAGGTGCTGAAAGAGAGAGAATATGGTTTTACGGGTTACTAACCAAAGTGTATGATTTTCGAGCCCAGAAAAACTTCCCACGCCGGGAAACGAACCCGGGCCTTCTGGCTGAAAGCCATATATCCTAGCCACTAGACCACGTGGGAAAGCTGAAAGCAATAGTAGCGCTGCTTAAAACGGATGTATATTGAACTACATATGTAGTTTATACTACGGTACTACAGTGTAGTTTACTATGAGTGCCAAGCAACGAGTACTACTGAGTTGAAGTGACCATCTTCTAGTTTCTTATTCGCAGACTCATAATTTAGTTAATTGAGTCCATCCTAAGTGTTAATTGGTCGTTAAACAGGACGTCGTTAAGTGACGCATATCTGCATGTTGGAATAGAGTAGCAATGGCTATAGATGATCGCTCGTGTTTGAAAAGTATCTCTTGTATATAATAATTATTGTTCTTTGTCTCACGTTTACTTTTTTTTAATCTTATTTGCGGTGAATCCGCGGTAAATCCATGTATAATAAATTTATTTTCCTCCAATTTACCCAGACTAATCTATTAGCTTGATTGTCTTTATATCATTTTCCTGTATATAAATATCATATTACCATTAAGTTTATTCCACAGTTAATGAGAGGACAGAGGTGCAGAAAGAGAGAGAATATGGTTTTACGGGCTACTAACCAAAGTGTGTGATTTTCGAGCCTAGAAAAACTTCCCACGCCGGAACTCGAACCCGGGCCTTCTGGATGAAAGCCAGATATCGTAACCACTAGACCACGTGGAGATCTGAAAGAAAAGGTTTTCTCAACTAATCTCTTGTATGTGATAGGCGAAGTTTAAAGAGAGATAAGTCTCTATCTGTCTGCTAGTCTCTTGACGCCAGTATGAGAGTCTAACTTTCTCTACTCGGGTTCAGAACGTCCAAGCAAGTAATAAATAATAAAAAAAAAGTGACAGCCACGGTTCAAGGTGGCTATCAACAAGTGGCTTGACGAGGTCGATGCTCTGCGAAGGCCATGAAGTTGAAGGACGTTCTCCAGTGAGACGTAAAGTTCTTGTGTTTTGGAGCAAGAAAGTCGTAAACTGATCGTCTCCGGTCTATCGGTCTCATGTAGACAGTGTGCTACATTCAAAAGGAACTGGTAGAATATGAAACCTGGCCTGGATGTACAGGCTGTTTCATAGACCAAATGTTAAAAAAAAAACGAACATTTTGTTCGCATTTAATCATGTTTTAACGTTTTGCTTCCAAAATATAATAATTCATTACACGTCACCATAAGTCTATAGGACTATAAGACCATGTTTTAATGATCAATTAGTTGAGAAATAAGCAAGCATGTCACTATAAGTCAATTTCCAAGTTTTTTTTTTCTTCAAATATTCCTGGGTGTAATACTTTCTAGCTGTGTATATGCTTTAAGTATAACAAATATCTCCACACTTAGCTGCAGTTGGAACCAGAATGCTATTTGGTTGTTTGCACTTATTGGTTGGGCCGAACTTTGCAAGAGTCTTCTAAAGTGCAAGTTTTAAACTCGGGTTGTCGACAGCCTGACAAAATCCAAACATATATAAAACACAAGATTTAATTTTCTCTTCGGGGTCCTACAAAACCAGTAAAATACAGCACTTTTGTAAGAAATGGGAGAAAAAGACGAATGTGTTGGGGAGTTGAGTTTCTTTCCGGGTTAATTGGCCATTTAGAGTATGATCTTCTAGCCCCAATGGCAGAACGCGACTTCCAGTGGCAAGGGATCCTAGGATATGGCAGCAAAGATGTCTCGCAGGGGTGGAGTAAACGCAGAGATGGCAGGGAACAGCGCCTGGGAGCAGTGAGAGGCAGGAGTCTTGGCAGGGGAGGAAATCCAGTAGGAGAGGACAGTAAAGGTGGAGACAGGAGGTCCAGGAAGCCTAGAACTTAAGAGCCCTAGACTTCAGGATAGGGCAGCTTGAGTAATGTGTTGGGGAAAATCGCGAAATTCCATTATGCAGGGTAAAAGGCGTGAGAGTGACATCTCAAGAAAGGAAAAGGAAATATTGGCTCATGCCATTTCCTTGTACAATCCCCAGTTCAAATAACTTCCTTTCATGTCCAACCACTCGTACTGATTTGCAGTTTTCGACTTTTGACTGAAAAGTACAATTTCCGACACTAGCCACTTAAGACATTCGACTTTTGATTCATATTGAAGGCAAATCATTTAAAACTTTTCAAAATATTTTCTTTCTTACTTATTCCAAAAAACATTGGTACGCAAAATTAGGGCAACATCAGCACAGTATGAAAATATCTTTAAAATTTGACGAATTTCTTTTCTCTGATACCATTATATACCCTATTTGAAATTCATAATACACCGATTAGATTTCAAACATCAATGGAAAAAATGAGCCACAGATATAATAAAAAAAAAAAACAGGCGTTCATAAAATATTAAGATTTGATAGAGATATAAAATGGTAGATTAAACTGGCGAATCCGCTGGGAGGGTTCACCACTGATGAGCCAGGCCCTCCCATTAATCTTTCCATTGCAGTAAGGGCAGTATAAATTGTTTATTTTTAAAAAGAATCATACGCGTCTATAATAGTTTCGGATTTTGATAACAGATGGCGCGCTAATGCATCATAATATAATTTTGTTGTCAGTATAGAGTACGTATATGCAGTACATGCCACATTAATTGTTGTGGGTGAAAACCTTTTACACAGTAAATACATTTCACTTCTACACACAGCAGTCCGCCCAACTTGTAAGGTTCTTGGATCGTGTAAGGTTAGTTGCACTCATTGGTTAGAATTGAGCTCAAACAAATGGGCCGTCAAAAATATGCTTCCATGAGTCCCGCGTCATATTTGCAGTACAAAACCCCATCCCCAACCTAAAAGGAGAAATAAAATTAGCTTGTTGGCAGAGTCGTCTGGCTTAATGACGGTAATAACCACTTGCCATGAGAGGAAAGCATAAATACTGATACACAGCGTCATAATTTTTACAATTTCTGAAAGTTTTTCCACTGCAAAGATGGCAACAAAGGGTTGCGTCACGGTCCAGCCGGGTATCGCAATAAAACGGCGACGTGATAGCCGAGCGTTGAACATCGCCCTGGAGCAACGCACCTCCTGTTGCATAAGGCATTGTACTTTTATTACATTCCAAGATAGCACACGTAGTACAGGCCATTATAACCATAACTTATACTGTAAGTATCTCCCACGAGATAGACTTTGCACTTGAAAGGTCCCCATTTCGTTAGCTGTGACGACAAAAAGAATTAAAATGTTGTTAAGCGGTGTGTGCTAGATAAGTAAACTCTTTATTGAGCAACTAACCAATATGCAAACGTGCACAGACATGCTAGGGTATCTCGATAGAATTAATAACAAACAGAAAAAAAAAACTATCATCAATTATCACAACGATGTCTTTAAAAGTTTACATTTGCGTGTTTTACAATTTTTTAAATGGAATAAATGCTTTAAAAGAATATAAAGCACTATTTTTGCCTTGCAAATCACACAAAGATATCTCTATAAACCAATTTTGGGCCGTACAAATAACAGAGCAGAAAAATTTACTTAACCAAAATATATTGAAGAGAAAGATTAAACAAAGATGTAAATAACATTTGTCTTTTGTCGAGCCTCTTGTCTCAATTTGCTTATACTTTCTTTTAGGTATGAAATCTATATAGTGTGTCTACAGGTTCTCTTTACAAATTCACATACAAGCATTTAAAAGATTTAATGTTGTTGTTCGGATTTTACGTATTTACTCAGTCATCCCTGTAGCAGCTGAAAAAAATGTTGTAATTGGTATAATCTAATTATGGTGTATAGATTAATTTTTATTTAATTAAATAAAAAAAAAAACTAAATTACTCTAGGAAATGTAAATAAAAAAATGAGTAAATGTTTTGAATAGGAATAATACTATATATGTCTAGCTTGCTATAGTTTTATATGGCTAAAAAGAATAAGATAATTTACATGTATTTAAAATAATAAATAAACGTTTCTTCTAACCGACGGTGAATGAATTTCTGATTCTGAATCCCTGATAACACTTACAACGGAGTTTTTATGGTATTATGGCTGGACTCCCCGGGTAGTTGGCGCTCTGCGCTCCAGGAACCTGTGTTATAAATATCTCTCTAGTTGAAAAAAAAAAGATTGCCACGCTGGGGATCGAACCGATGATATTTATGTAACCTGTATAGGGAAGTCGTTCTATATTTAAAAATATGTAATATATATACTTGAATAGGCCTTCAAAGAATAAAATAAGTATTTTAAAAAAAGAGTTGGGTCCAACTATATCAGCGAGGCTACCATTCACGGACGAGATCCCACTACCGCCCTGCGCGGGAGCTTTTACCTGCTGCGTTTCCGCCCTGGGCCGGTCCACTCCTCATTAGCTGACCTGGAGGCCCCGAGCTCCCCCGGGGTCGCCATATTGACGCTGGGCCTAGTGCGGACATCCAGTCAAAGTAGGGAGGGCTCCCCGCCTCAAGCCGTCCACCAACCTCGGCGTCCAAGTAGCTGGATTACAGGAGCACGCCACGGCTCCCAGCCCAGTGATTTTCCTGGAACTTCTATTTTAACTTCTCCACATTAGTTTATTTTAGTTTTAATATTATAATAAAATATTATATATAACGCTATAACAAAGCTATGCTTACAATTCTAATTAAGTAATAAACAATTGATTGATTAAAAAAATATCCCAAGAAGATACTGCAAAAAAGAATACCAGACACAAAAATGGAGCTAAATTTAAATGAAAAACTATAACAAAGCTACTTACATTTATAATTATAATGTGGGTCGGTGGAAGGATGGTCTAAACCGTTGGTTTTTGACCGCTACGACCCGGGTTCGATTCCCGCATTGAGCACTTTTTTATGTTTAAAAAAATAATGCTCCAATGGCCCCCGATTCTTGCAAAAGTCCAACCCCACCAGCGAGTGCAAGTAACCAAACGGGGCTCTGGCACATTTGTAAGTGCAAAGTCGAACTGCTTTTCACATGGGTATACATGTGGTGCACTTACAGTAAAAGCAGTCGCCTACTTCTACCCACCATGATTATCATGGCCTGTACCACGTGTACTAGGGATAAGCAAAAAAAAAAATAATTATAATTATAATAAAGTAATTAATAAGAAAATAAAAGTAACAATAGAAATTAATTAAAAGTAATAATACAAAAAGAACGTGTTTTAAAAATAAACAATTCGATGGTGGTAAATAACAAATAAGATAAGCAACATTTGCAGGCAAAAAATCTACGATTGCAAAATCGAATAAATTAAAAATAAATAAATATATTAATATTTGGCAAATAAAAATAAAACGGTAATGTGAAGCAAAAAATAACGAAAATTTTGATATATAGATGGCTATGTATAGATAACTATCTTTGGAGGAGATAGCTTGAAACTTTACAACTATAAACTCTGTTAGCCTATTATCTATATAAATGTTTATGGTACCATTTTGATAAGGTTCAAATACACACATCCATAATGGATGATGGTATAGAATGACATGGTATACTTATTTTTGAAATTTGATTTTTTCTGCTCCTTTAACTTCATCTCTTTCTTCTGCGAGTTATTTGTAATGAATGATTATTTGGAAACACAATGTCATTAAATACTTTGTTAGTGAATGATAAAATATGCAATATATATATGTAATATTGTTGCAAATGATCCTGTCGACGTATGGATAAACTGGCAGTCGTGTACGTGAGGCGAGTGTTGATGTTCTTCCCACACTCGGACAACAAGAAGCAGAGGCAGAGCTAAATGTTAGCACCGAGAGTAATCGGAGACAGCCCACAGGACAGAGGTAGAAGCCATGACACAAACTTGGATGCCTTTCACCGAGACATGGAGAGAGAGACCGAGAGAGACAGAAGCGGTCTGCCGACGGACACCCTGTATAACATACTGCCGCTGACCCCCTGCTAAAACCTGTCCTGTTTACAGGGGTCTCCAATAAAAAGCCCTGGAGGGGGGCATCTTGGCGTTGGATATTTCCTCTCTCTCTCTGCCCCCATCTGCCACCACTCTGGCTTTTTATTTTGACGTCACCAATTATAGTTTAAATACAAATAGGGGTGTACAGGTTATATTAATAAAGATATAGCATATATACAAAATATGGGGGTGGTAGCAAATAGGAAGAATGTACATTTTAATAGAAGGGTAGGATCTTATAAAGTATCGGCTCTAACTAATTGGAAGATATGTGAAATATACTAAAGGTGTCATTATTATACAGTTTAAAATATACTATATATATGTGCGTGTGTTGTGTTCATATATTCCAGCTTTAATACCTTCTTAGTGCTTGTGTGAAGAGTAGACCCCTGCATATTCCAAATGTGTATACAGTTTGCTTACGTCAACCTACCTCTGTACATCACCTTCTTTTGGAGCAAAATTGCCCAACCAGGAATAACAGAATTATTCCAAATTTGGCCAAATATCCTTTCTTTATTAATCAACAAAAGCTAACCACTTAGGCTGTTGGCGAGTGTTTATGAAAAATGTTCAAAGCCTTTGAAAAAAAAAAAAGTCCGTCAATATTCACTCAAAGATTACAATATTTTAAAGCGATCGCAGGAAGTTATCTCATTGGTATTCAAATATATAGAACAACAACAAATCCCGTCATATCGTCTTACTACGCCTTACAGGGATTACAAGAAGATGAGAAAACAAACCATGGTAGAAAGTATTATAAAATAAATAGATAATAAACTTGTCAATAATATAATCCTTTCGGTAAAATTATAAATAAAAAAATATTCGCCGAGTGAAGAGTTTCTTTTATATATAACGGCAATACAATAGCAACAAACAAACAACAACAACAACAAAAAGTTTTATTAAGACCTTTTAATCTTATACAAATTCTCCAAGCAGAAATGTAGGATACATGCAGGAAAAAAAAGTAATAGTGCCTTAATGGTAATATAATATTTATATACAGGGAAAATTTTATATAAAGACAATCAAGCTAATAGATTAATCTGGGTAAATTGGAGGAAAATAATTTTATTATAAATGGATTTACCGCGGATCAACCGCAAGGAAAAAAAGCAAAAGCTAATTACAATCAATATTGAGACAATGAAATTTATAAATTGTAATTAAGACAAATAAGCTCATAAACATATTTGAAAGGGTAAATCCGAGGAAAAGAACAAAAGAATTAAAAAAAAACACTGGAATTTATCTATGATACATGCACTAAGATTTTTCGTTTTTATAAAATAATTTCTCAGCTGATGAATGAAGGTTATAAGAATTTGAAGCGTAGCTTCCTTTACAGTATTTTCATTCATAGAAAGCGAAATATAAAAGAGATTAAGGCAAGGAAAGAAGAAACATTATATCGTGTCAGGTGTTGTTGAATTATTTGGCAGCAGCTCTGAGACAATATATATCGGCAATACAAGCTTTCGGGCTCAACAGCGCTTCGACAGGTATAACTACGCTACTGAGGTTTTTGAATTTAAACAACTCCATATATATATATATATATATATATACGCATATACAATGATGTAGGAAATATTAGACAGATATGCAAAAATACTGATTTACATAATACATTTTAGTCAAAAGGCGATCCTTCAAATCAGTTTATATAAAAGGGCGTATCTGAATCTGTAAAGAAAAAAAAAAACATTTTTTTTTCTCAAAATATTTCGAGAAATTGCTCCCTCTTTATCAATTTTGTTTCAAAATACATTATATAAAATACTGCATTACTAATTTTACAAAAGCCTTTAATTTTCATAATTTTTTAAAATTTTATTATAATTATTTTCAATTTTAATATATTATTAACATTAATTATTTTTTGACCAATGACAAAGTTGTTTTCAAGAATTTGTAAATTAGTTTACTGTGCAATAAATTGATAAAGAGGAAGCAATCTCTCGAGAAAAAAAAATTACAGAGCCAGGTAAGCCTTTTTATATTAAATTATATAATAGTTATACAAATAATTTTAAAAATAATAATAAATAAACAAAATGACCTATGGATTATTGATTAGTGCTAATGCTCTATTGAGGTTATGTGATTACAGTAAATAACAAATTGGGAAGCCGGAGATTATTTAGGTAGGAGGAATTATACTATGATATATGTCAGGTAAATCTATTTATTTATTACCAGTTGCAAATAAGACACGCTATATCCGATCTGGATAACTATTTACAATAATTCATTTTGTAGTAGAGTGTGTAACAGAATTATAAAAAATAAAATGAACAATTAAGAAAAAGATCAATACATAAACATATACATTAAACAAAAAAGAAACAACTTAAGAAGATAATCTATGGACAAATCTGTGAATCTATATATTCCTTTGGTTTCTTTTGTTCTTTATTTCCTGATAATGGGTTGAAGGTTCATTAATATTGAATGAATGGTCTGTGATATGCTGGTATACGAGAGAACGGTGAGAATCAGAATGGCCGAGCATGAAAGATCTGTTAAAAGAAAGGATCCCCGTTCTCTCGTTTACCAGCATATCCACAACAGTCCATTCATTTAATATTGGTGAACCCTCAACCCAACTGGAAGCCAGTTCATTTTTAGTATGCAGGAACAAAATTCTAACAGAAAAACATTCATTCGAGCAGAAGACACAAAGCCAGATCATCTCTCTATAAAAATATCGCTTCTCAGACACTAAGTTTGGAGCGGGACGTTTCACAAGAGTGACATCCACTGCGCCAATTTATAATTGTAACGAATAGTATTTAAAATTAAAATAATAGAATTTTCAAATATCGTTGTGAAAATTTACATTTTTATATTTTAAAACGCACAAAGTTTGGAGCGGGACGTTTCACAAGAGTGACATTCATGGCGCCAATTCGGTTAGTTATATATAAAACACAGCTGATATTATGTAAATTTTATAATGTACATATAACTTGCCATAGCATAGTTAAGTTTCATTTTGTATCAATTTTCCTGTAGAAGGGCGATATCCCGAAACCTCGAAAAACGTTTAATAAAAGATACTTATCCTTAGACGTTTACTTTATTATCTGAAATTGATAGCAAAGAATTATATTCTAAATTCCTTCTTATATATATAAAAAAAAACTCCGAAGAAGATATGTTTAGTCTATACTACTTAATGAATCAGCCAATGAGTACATTAATTCTATAAAAATGAGCAAGTGGTAGCGAATTACTCATAAATTATATTTATTGACCCACACTGATTTGATAATCCCATTCGAGGGATATAATCTTATCTCTAAAATGTTATCTAGAGTGTGAGGCTGTCTCCCCGGGTTATCATCAATCCTATGTATGTTACACACTACCCTCTTGTAAATCCTAGTGAGAGGATACAAACAGCTATCCTGCTTGGACTGACCCACCTCAATCCTAGATCTATGGCCAGACTCAACCTCAGCATAGAACTTTCTGGTCAACTGGTTCAACTCGGCAATCAAAATAGGACGCGAGTAAAAGCGCTCAGCACTAGTCCATACTAGTGAGCTGGGCTCCCTGGGTAGTTGGCGTTCTGCGCTCCAGGAACCTGGGTTATAAATATATCTCTCTCTCTCCTAGTGAGACACCTAATAATGCCATCACACACTATGGTTTTCTTATCCTATATTATTGCCACTTAACCCCATATATTGAAACCCCTTATATTTTCTGCTCTGAGTTAAGAATATCAAGGATAAGATAGTTCTTTCTCCGAGCTCTCTCTCTCTCAATTTCTGGGTGGTATATAATACCAATTCAACAAAATCAATCCAGGGCAGGTCTTTTAAAGTATTTTTTATTTCTCAAGCTTTCGGACTAATATGCCCTTCTGCAGGAGACCTAGAAGTACCACTTCCAGCCAATTATACACACAATATGCTGGAAGTTTGTACTTCTAGGTCTGTTGAAGAGCATATTGGCCCAAAAGTTTGAGAAATAAAAAATAGTTAAAAGAGACCTGGATTTCTTATTCATTTTGTTGAATTGTAAAGGCAGGGATGAATATTTATTATATAATTCCAACTACAGTATTCGGATAAGTAAAACCCTCTACAATATAAATAATAAATAAAACGAGGTTGAGTTTCTTATAAGAAAAAGTCAACTCCAAACTCTCCATTTTCAATCCGTTTGTTTGGTAAAAATCTATTGTAAATCAGCTATTACTTTCTTGCTTCAGAATATTTTACAAATTTCCTTCCTTCTTGATAAATTAAAAAATAATAATAATAATAAAGCCTACAATGTTTTCAGGCTGTTGGTCCTCGTAAACCTGGTGTACCTGATCAAGAGAGAGATGTGGTTTTCCTTAATTTCACCATCTCTGATTCAGTTCAATTTACTTTTGTTGGAAGAGACCAAAGGTAAACGTAGCGAGCTTATTTATTTAAAAGGCTGCGAACTTTCGTCCTTCGCGATAATTCGCTTAATAGCCTGTTGAAGGACGTTATTGTCCGAACTTCGCAGCCTTTTAAATAAATAAATTCGTCGCGTTTACCTTTGGTCTCTAACTCTGCCTTTACCGGTCCCAAGCCCGGATGGAGGAGAGGGAGCAGTAACAAGCTCGCTAAAAACCTGGGCTC